TTAGCTTTCTGTCATATTTCTCTCTTTTTACCTTTATTATTCCCTACTTTCATGGTTTAGAAGGTATATGCTCAATACCTAAGTAACACTGTTTCAGATGGTTGCCTTGATGCAAGTGATGTTAATACCTCCTGATATATTCAATAAGAACGTTTTAGAATGGTGTCCTGTTACATTGCATTAAAGAGAAGCAATGATGTTGGAGTAGCAGCTGTCAGAAGGATATGTTGAATCCGGAAAACAAATGTTTGAGACAATCTGCATGGCAAAGCATCAAGATGCATTCCCCACCCTAAAGGAACCCTTAATTCCTCACTAGGAAAAAAAAAAATCCCACTCTACAGTATTTCAAATAAGCATTTTCAAACCTGGGACCGCCTAGAGATGTGCAGCTTTTTTTGTGTGTGTGTGTGTGTGAGAACAGGAAACAAAAATTCATTAAAAAAATCCTCTTTCCAAAGCTGAAGAACTTTATGAAGATGACATTTTGTGCTCATGCTCATCCATCACTCAAACTGAAGACTGAGTTAGCAACATCTCGCCTTGTTTGAAATCACCGACCAACTTGAAACAGAAGTGCTAATGTCATTTCATTTACAGCTCTGAAAAAACTTTCTATTCTTCCCTGTTGTATGATCGCAGCCCTCCTGTCTCTGATGTGAGAGAAAGCCTCCCAACCACAGTGCAAAGCATTGCACTTCCCCCTTATTCACAGGAGCTGCAAGCAAAAATAGATAGTCTTAGAAGACTAAATTGGGATATTGCAAGGCAAAAATTGGTATAAGCAAGACTTCCATTTGCTACCCCTCTCCAAAGAAAACATCGGCTCTTACCTCAGAATTTGCTTCACCACCTGATCTCACCTGGAAACAAATGTACCTTGACTAAAATTCTGCCTTGCTGAAGAGTGCACACTTACTCCTGCTGAGCAACAAGCAATGTATTATTCTGACAGATATGTTCAGCTTGCATAAACTACACCTAACTCATTCACCTTCCCACCGCCTCATGGTGTCCTGTGACTTCCACTCCAGTTTATGATTCTCTGTGTTCAGCCAAATGAGTTGAAAACTGAGTTGAGGTTTTTGGGGAGCAATGGTGCTGCAGCCAGAGACGCATCTCTGAAACTTCTCAGTAAAGCCTTGTTGCAAAATATGTTGTCAAACCACAAAATCCTCCCCGTCATGTGATTATATTCAAATCATCTTCACATGCTGGGATTCAAGCTGAAAATTCTATTTTTTGAGAAAAAAGTTTTCCTCTGGGTTTGTTTTTGGTTAACATTCATTTTATTTTTGCCACCCCTACTACCCAAGAACTCTAATCAAAATAATTTTGCAGGATCTGAACCCAGAAAGATTTACCAATTTGAGTAATTTTCTTTTAACACCATCTCTGTTTCACACAATTTTCCAGAAGCCATTTTAGTGCAAAGATCCTAAATGGCATTAAAAAAAAAAAAAAGGTCAAAATTAAAGCAAAAAAACCCAACAGCTGCCTCCCAGTTTCCCTTCAGGAAATCAATGAGATCATCACTGGCTCCAAAATCTGCCATGTGCTGTTCAAAATCAACCTTCTGCAAGTGGCCACTTTCTGCCACTACTGCTGGAGTTAGAACTTAGCACCTGGCAGCTGGCACAGCTCACTGTCCAGGAAACCACCATAAGAGCTGCATGGACATTTCTTCAGCCACCTGTCCCGACCACAGCTTCCCTACAACCACTCTGGTACTCGCCTCACCCCCAGCATTTTCCAACCTGGAACAGAAGCAAGCAGGCAAATGCAGCTGAGACAATGGCTACATCTCACCCACATGCCCCAGGAGAGAACTGGAGCAGTGGGGCTGGAGCCAAATGTTGTTATATGGAATACCAAGTTATAGCCAGATCCAACTCTTCTTCCCAAAGACTTCTTACAAACCCTCCCAACACAAGCTGCAGCCCAGATTTCCCATGCCAAACTGGGGAGAAGTTTAATCAGTTTTTTGAACTTTCCTGGTACCAATGAAGCATTTTTCTTTAACTGAATGCCAAGTTTCATTTCAGTATTTAATCCTCAAAACACACATATTTATTTTTCCATTCCATCATGATTAGATCTGAACCACTGCAATCCACACCTAAAAATCACTAGGCAGCAGTACAATCAAACTAAAGGTAAAAGCCAAGGCTTAATCTGAGTTGTGCAAAATGTTCCTACTAATATCAAGTCCCTATTAGATCTTATGCTATGTAAGGTGTCATAAAAAAAAAGACATACCAAATCAATAATGCATTGACTTCATTAAGAGCAGCACCTCACACTAACTCTAGCACACAATATTCCATATAGAACAGAATGCTTCATTCCTATAGGCCATCACTATTTTACTCAGTTTGTTTTCAAAATAACCACGAACTCAAAGAAGTGAGATAATTAAACCCTTCTGGAGATTCAACTGAAGGCATCTATTCAACACTGTATTTCTGTACTGCTGCAAAAGCCTGACAAATAGCTGAAGTCAACACATACTTATATGGAAATAAAATATATTAACTCCCTAGGGAACAAAACCAAAATTCAAGGAATTCCTGGAGGGGAAGAAAAACAAAGGGGAGGGAAAGGGGGGAAGAGAAACAAGATGTCTTTCAAAGCGTTTGTTTCCTTCTGATAATCAGACTGCCACAAAACTCTCAAAACCGTGGGGGTTTTGTTTCCTCTGAAACAGGAAAGTCAGGAGAGAAATGGATGCTAATTAGGCAATAAAGGCAAAAAATATTTTGGAAATGGACTTCAGGATATGAGTCTAGAGGAGCATGAAGAAGCTGTAGAAAGAATATGATTAGATCTCTTTTTGTTTCAGAAAAATCCCTGCCATCTCTTGATATTAAAATTTCCATCTGGAATAAAAAAACAAACAAACAAAGAAAAACAGATAGAAAAATAAGAAACATAAATTCACCCCTTCCAAGAGTGATTTCTAGATCTCATGAAAGCTTGCTGGGGAGCAATTAGTGTGAGACTCAAAGGCATTGAAGATGGCAAGACAGCAGAAGTGAGAGCCACAGAAGTATATGTAACATTTATGAAGCCACAGAAAACACTAGAAGCAAATTTGTGGGAGAAGCAGCCTACAAGCAACAAAAATATTTCCAGAACATGTCAAGCAAGCCTGCCACCAAATTTCTTAGTAAGCTTTTTATATCTCCAAATCCAATCTTTCAACCACAGTATCCTGAGCCTGTCAAGGTATCAATGTCTGCTTTCTTATAAATACAAATCCCCATAAATTTTAGTTTGAGTTTTACACACTGGGATGAAACCTGGGATCTTCAAAGCTGGTCTGTGAAAACCAGTCTTCCACTATTGTCACCATAAGCACCATCTTCTGAAACCACTCCAATATAGTCTTCACAACTGTCTTCTAAAACTGAAGTGTTTATGTAAAACCTTTTCCACAGTTTAACACAAAACATCAGCTCTCTCAATTATTATCTTTAAATCATATTTTAATAATACTGGGTGAACTCGATTTACAAGAATAATTCACCTTTCTGTCTCTTTCCTTTATTTCTGAAGACTTGCGGGAACTAGAAACAACTTCAAAAAACAGTAATACACTACAAGTAAGATATAAATTACACACCAAATGAATACTCTGCATTTTTATATCTGGAAATAAAAAATGAATATAAAAACAATAGTGTTTGCAGTTATGATTCAAGACAACACTTAAATCACCACAAAAATGAAATCTAGCTTATGGTTTTCTGGTTTGAATCTAATGACTACTTCAGAGGCCATGCAGGCAATCAAACTGCTGATCAAATAACTGTGCTGTCCTCCCCAAAATTATTTTGGTTTCATTTGAATTCCTTTTTGCATGTCTCACAGGAAAAGAATGTGCAGCAGTCTTATTCACAAGCCTAAATACCTGAGCATGTCTGGGACAAAGGCAACTAATACTTTCTACGTTCATTTGATGTGGAAATGCACATTCTCAGCTTGTGCAATAATTTATGGCAATTTAACCTAATCTTATGACCTCCAGCCAAGTTAACTACATTTATTCTCTAATGAGCTACGTGGTTGACTAGCAAATGCCAATGTTTTGTTGGCTTGTCCCATTAGAACATATAAAAGTATCTAGAGTTTTGTATTCTACTCCTACTAAGAAATAGGTAATTTCCCTTCATTGAGAGCCTGCATGTTTATCGTAAGGTGCAATTGTCCATTTGTCAAAGGAATCATATACATGTCCCTGTTCACCTTGGATCTTTTAATATGAGACCAACAGTTTTTGTGACAGGACTAAATAGCCTTGACACCCAAAGTGACATGAATAGCCAGCAAGGTTGTCATAGTGAAAAGAGTGATGAAGGAGGAATTCTAAGAATTTATTTGCCCACAGAAGGGTTTCTGATGCTAAATGGCTACATAACTTATCCTAGTCTCTATGCAGCAAATTTTCTAAACAACATACAGAAAATCTTTCACATTTCCTGTGAAAATTATGACATGCATCTCCCACCTCTACCCCCAGCAATGTGATTTACAGCCAAAACATTGGCAAATCCCTCAGCTGAAGCCTGAAGACAGATCTTTGCATCATCAGAGTTATTTTAATGCAACTGAAGCTTTGCTGTGGGTAGAGTGAAACAGGTTCCAAAAATGCTTTAACTACACAGAACATTTCCTACTCTGCCCATTCCCTAAGAAAGGGATATTGGAAGTGGCTTCTGAATGTAAGATAGGATGGTGGCCCTTAAACAGAGACTATTAATGCCACAGAGGTTTGTGCACAGGAGCCAGTGCTTGATACCTCTGGGGATGATGAAGCTTCATGCTTCATCATTATGATGATTGAAGTTACATATCGAAATGACAGATTAGATATCCCTTGCGGTCTAAGATAACAATTTTGAACAAAAAATGAAAATTATGCCAAAATTTTGAAAACTCCTTGAAACAAAGATCACTTGGTTCATATGCCAGATATTAAATTCAATGCCATTACTTACCAAGCCAGCTATTGGAGTTGGCAGACAATTGATCTTCTTAATGATGCCAGGTTTGATCTTGTTAATCAAACTAAAAAAAAAAAGTATATGATTTTCTGTTAAATAATTTACTGTACTTAAGCATAAGCATCAATGCTTAGTAAGAAATACTTTGTATGTAGTCCTAACTCAACATGATTTGAATGAGTTTGAGCTGAACCTATTAACACTCCCTAGAAGTGACAAGCAAGAACAGATTGTAGAAGCAAAAATTAAACAAGTCACACACAAAGAGGTTTCTGGGAACAGCAAAGTGAGAAAGAAAAGAAAATGCATGAGGAGGCGTGGGCAGAAAAGGATCTGTATTTCTCTTACATGGGTGGTGATGTTAATTGGACTCAAATTTCCTATTCATAGATATTCTCCTCATAAAGGTCCTGAGCAGATGTCAAAAATGTACCAGAATACTGATTTTCAGAGTGCAGTGTGATAGCACTAACATTCCTGTAAGGGTGAGAAATAAACTCAGTTTTCGTAATGCTACCAAGTCCACTATGCTATGTGCAGCAATCATTTTTGGTACATATAATTTACATGCACAAAGTCATTTTCCATCTCACTCAGACGAGATTGTACCTGATACCAGTCTTCATATAAAATTCATAATTAAGCTGAGAAGATAGGACAGACTAACACATCACTATTGAATACATAAGCCTAAATGCATACCTTATCCTGCACTGAGGGTGAAGCACAGGATTCCTTGCAAGTTTATATCCAGGTTTTCAGTCATGGAGGTAAGGAAATATTGTGGTTCACCAAATTACACACTGGACCATAGGGTCAGTAGAGAACAGGGACCTCAGGACAACCTGCAGACTTCATCTGCCTCTATACCTTTAAGAATTTTTTTTACTTGCTCTCACTTCTTGTTGCTGCTTGTCTGGCCAGACCCTTTACCCCACACAAAGCATCAGCAAGGCTTTGTGATCTATCTGCACCAGTGTAAAGGCAAGACATGGACTTTAAAACTCTGCATGGGGAAAAAACATCTTTTGCTCAAGCAGAAAATGTATTTGAAAAACAAACACAAAGAACAATTTACCCCTATACACTGGAATGAAGGATATATTTCTGGCTACATGCAGGAAAAAAAAAAAGAGCTGCAGGTCCTGAGATGTTTCAGTAACACTGACTTATTTAGCAAACAAGACACATTTGATTACTTTTCCCACCCAAAAAAGTGATCTGTTGAGGTGGAATTAAAATAAAGGTTTGCATTCCTCCCCTATTTTTTTTTTTTTAATTTTTAAATCTTCCAAATGCCTAATTTTTGATTTATTTTACTGAAGAACATGAAGTAGCATATGACCAGATAAACCTTAGTGAGTTTCTTTCTCTAGTGTATGCACACTAGAATTGGCAAAACGTAAAAGGCTTTATTTTGTCAACTACTGATCACTCAGACAACTTGACAAGTTTGCACTTAGTCATTGAGTAGGACAAACAAACTGACTGGATGCTGTAGGAGCGTGCGGTGCAAGTAGAGGTCTTATCTGCTGTGGTTTAAGTCAGATATACAATCTACAGAGATATTCTATCCACCTAAATTAGCCATGCCACAGGTGAACCAAGGAAATGGACAATGTAATTTCTAGTTTGTCTCAATTACTTGAGATCTTGCACTGTATTGTCATTGGTGAAAATTGGATGTGAAAATTTTTGCCATCTGCTCTTTTCTGTTCCCACAGAATTTCTATGAAACTCACTCCTCCTTGGACTTCAAGTATGTCAGATTTAAAATTATGACACAGGAGAACAGCTATTTTAGTACAACATAAAATGGCAGCTTTTGCTTTAAAGAAAGTTGCATGCCTCTGAAGGCAAGCTGCTCAACTGAAGAAATTACAGGATGTTTTTCTTGCATTAATATTAATTATAGATAAATTTAGCTGATTTACATTTGGCAGATGGAACCTCATTCTCTTGCCAAGTACGTGTCAACAATGAAGATATCAGAAGATTAGTATGCATCAGTTAATGGCCAATTCTTAAACATTTGAATACAACATACACATCTCACTAAATACATACCTGCTAATACTTTTAATACTTCTTATTAAAAGTATAAACTATTTTTATTACTACATTCACACTCACTAACATTTAATTACATAAGTAATGAAAATAAAGCATCCAGCTCTACAATATTGTTGAAAAATCAATGTCCCATATCACAAATAACTTTAAAAGCAACTAGCAAGATAAGACTGGAAGGGCAAAGGGTCCAAAGCAAAATAGAGGCAAGGACAGAAAATATGAATATTCACAGAAGGAAAAGATTATATATAGGAAAAGAAGCTCAGAGAACTGAACTGTCAAATATTTACTGAAAGTTAGCTTTGCTGAACTGATTTTAGAGTGGCTCAGGTTTGTGGGGTGGTTTTATTTTTTTGGGTTGTTTTTTTTTCCTTATTTTTGTTTAGCATCCCAGGTAGTTCTCCAATAAGATTTCTCTTGCACTGGTGTTCTAATGACATTTACAACTGTTGTTCCTTAAAGTACTAAGGGATTAACACCACTTCCAGTCCTGGAAACCTGTTCCAGTAAAGTACCAAGCCAATTACAGATATGCAGATGAGACCTGATGAGTGGACATTTTACACCTCTGACTCAGTCTAGCAACGAAACCAGGCAAGTCCCATCATTGCCAAGCCTACAGTATATAAGCACAAGGAAGCTTCTTGTGGAAAGTGCTCCAAAACAAGCTGAGTGTAAAGTTCTGTGATAGGAATAGGTAGTTTGATGATTTATAGAATCAGCAATAAAGGGTGGGAGATGGAGGACAGAAATCCAAACCCAAACAGTGGGTATAGGGGTAGCAGTGCTTTGATCCCAGCCATAGCCACAACACCTTGCAAAAACTGCAGAGAAAGCCCAGAGATACCAGAATTTTGGCATTGTAACCAAAAGCTAATCAATCAACAACAGCATGATCCCCTCAGTATCACACAAAGAACTGTGTGGGACAACACATAGAACACATGGATCTGGAAATAGTATGTCCAAAAGCTGCTCTTCCTTCCCACGACAAACAACAGGTATTAAGAAAACATTGAATATTATTTACTAAAAAATCCTTTTAATACTTAAAAAATAATTCAGAGGCCAGGAAGGAAAGAGGCCAGCTGATGTTAATCTGAAGGGTTTTTATACAGGGAAATCAATACTCACTCGCACAACAGGACTCCATTTTCTAGAGCTGCTCGAAAATCTTTGGTTCCAAAGCTCTGCCCAGTAACTGCCTATAAGAATAAGAGTTGAGAGTTAATTGGACACATAGACAAAATCAGGACTAGCAAGAGAATCTTATTAGTAGTTAAAAAAAAAACCAAACCAAAACCACAAACAACCAAACCCTGATTTAACACTTCATACTATTATTTTCTTACATTAATTTCAAAGAAGCAAGTGTTTAAGAGCCAGTTATTTATGCCTCAAAAGAAGTCAGATCCAACATCTTAAAATAGTTTCCTCTAGTGTAAGTCAATCTTCAGCTAAATTCTGTGGGAATACTTATTATTTTCTAAAGCAATATCAGTCACATTGAAAAGCATAACAGAAATTTCAAACAGAAATGCAAAAGAGAAAGTCTTTTATCTCCTACTTCATGTTACAGCATGTATACCCATGATATCTAGCACAAAGTATTTTAATAGTGGGTTTTTTTTGTGCCACTTGCACCTTAGGCAGTGTGACTAAAGAAGCACTCCAAGTCTGCATTACCACGTGCACATCAATTCCCATTCCTTGGCAAGTGGCAGGACTATACTAATGGGACTCCTTTGTGTATTCAGAGTGAAAAAGCAGTGAATGAGAACAATGACTTGTAAAGGACATAAGATACCCAAAACCAAAATAACTGACTACAAGTTTTCAGCAAAGTAGTTTTCAAAGAAACCCCAAAACCCAAAAGAACAAAGCATTCACTCAAGCCTACACTCATTTGGAGCTGCTACTAGATCCCCCCTGTGCCTACATTCCCTGCAGGGACCAAATTGGGCAGATTTCTTCCAAACACCCAGATTAATAAACCACATGCAAGTCAAAAAAGGACATATTATTCTGCCATCAGTCCAAAAGAGAGGTTTTATGCCAGCTGGGAACACAAACCAAATACTAGGAATTATATTTATTTGAGCTTAGAGGTCACCACGTTCAGCCACCAGCTAATTATGAACTGCCCTTTGGGGATCCTGACGATCCTCAAGCCTGTGCAGGACTTCAGGCACACAATTAAAAGTGCTGTGGAACTTGCATGCATCCAAAGCAAAGCTACTGGTTACCACAGTAATTAAGGAAATTAGTACTGAAAAAAAAAAAAAAAAGTTGTGCTTGGTAAAAAGAGCAAAGGAAAGGATGAAGCACTTTTAGGATCTGCTAAGTCATTACATTATCACCCTATCATTTTTTTCTAAATTCCAAGAGGGATGTACACTAACACCAGAAATCCTATGAAATAAGTAATTAAGTTTAATATGGGTTTTCATTTGTCATAGATACTACAAAAATCTTCTTTTATGTTTAATGTTTTTTTCTAAAATGTAACAAATAGTGACACAAAATGAATGATGGCACTCAAGGTAAGAAAAATTTCAAAATTCAGGGAAAGAAAGGATGATAATGATTCCCCTAGGAGAACTGCACTTTATACAATATTCATATAACAACAGTCTGTTCCTATGGGAAACTAGAAGCCGTATCTTAGAAATATAAATATATTGTCAATAACCCCTTTAAAACACAGAATCTGAAAATTATCTCTTATATGTTATGGTATTTTGTTTCCAAACCTGTATATTTAGTGATAATGATTTTGAGGACGCTAGCAAATGTAACACAACAGCGCTGAAACTTTAAAAATAAATATTTATGTTCCCTAGGTTATAGGGAATATGAGGAATAGGAATACCCAGTCTAAAACTATGCCCTTCATTCTGCAAGTCAGAAATTTGACGTTTGCATGTCATACATTAGATACATCTACTGTAATAAGGGCTGTATGACAGGAGTCTAGCTTTACAGCTATGTTTCAAACTCCAATCAACTCTCAAGAATCCTAAAACTACTCTCATTTTGGAGCTGTCACTGACATCTACAGGACTACACAGTCAGAGTACTTGGGTTTATAGAGTTTATAGAGAGTTTACTGGCAAGTCATGCATGCAGTAGATGACAAGGGGTTTCTTTCAAAAGAGTTGGGCCCATCCCAAACCTTCAGTGTCTTCTATACCCACAATCACCCTTAACAGTGAAATTCCTCTTTTTTATAAAAAAAAAAAAAAAAGGGTTCTAGAATTGCAGTATGTAGCTGAGGCCCACACTCCTCAAAAATCATTCAGAGGAAGACAAGGAATATGAGCACTGAAGACAAATTAAACTTCAGAGTAGCCCATCCAGAACACAAGAACACCATGCCGTAGTGCATAATCCTTTTTCCTTGAACAGCAAGAGTCCAATTTGAGTACAAGGCTGTAAATGCCTCTATTAGAGTTGCAGACCTCTTAAAATTACATTAGAAGATATTACACTGGAAGCATTTTGACTAAGTTATTTGTGCAGCCACTGCAGCAGTAACGCTGATTTGCTATACAGGATGGAGCTGTCAGACTGATCTTGTGACACACTGATTTTGACAACTACGTGGTTTGTTGGTATTAAAATAAAAGCATTGGTTCTACCAAATTAGGTTTCATTAATATTGACTTTCAAAGGATAACCAATAATTAAGTAATTAGAAGATATTCTCAAAGAACAATTTAACACTGGTGCTTGAAACCAAAACATTTTCCAAGTTGCACAACAGCTTGAATTTGTTGATGTCACAAAAGTAAATGCTCCATTTTAAAATCTGCTTTTGTACAGAGGCTGAGGACTTTTCTCATTATGGACTTTCACCTGACTTATACCCAGTGCAGAGCTTCAAGCTGAGCTGTAACTATGATAGCTTACCCAGGAACCAGGTACCATTAAAAAAATGCAAAGACACAGACTGGCTCAGAGTTCCCTGACTTTTAAGAACCTAAGTAAAACAAAGTGAATCCCACCCTAAGATATTACATCTTCAAACTATGTCTACGATTTCTGAGTCACTGCTTGTTCACAAAAACTCCTTATACTGGGTGTGGTACTCTTATGTAATACACATAATTGATTTTGGACAATTTTTCAACCACTTAGCCATGTGGGGCAACAAACAATAAAGAAAATACCTTTCAAGAGTGATTTCTATCCGTCTTTGAACAACATCCCTTTCCAAATTATAGGTCTCTTTTCTCTCCTCCATTCAGCTGAATATATTCTGCTTCTATCACTGTTTTGGGTTTTTTTTTTTTACAGAATGAAAGCAATGACATGATTAAAGGCTATATCATAAAATCAAATTTAATTGCTATAAAACAGTTTACCTCTGTTTTTGAAAGATAGCGTCCCCTAATACTTTGGTAATTTGCTATTAATAGGTCCAACCAATCTTCTTCAAACAGTATGCAAATCAAGTTTTTATTTAAATTTAGACATTTTAAAAATGCTTACACACAGAGGGCAAGTTTATTTTCAGGTTTGCTGTAATTCCTGTAAGAGGAGGCAAATCAAGAAGAAATAACCAAAGATCAACCATTCTGAGCATGGCATGACATCAAAATCATCATGAACTGAACAAAAAGCACATAGCACAGAATATGCTGATTATATGCCTTAGTACCAAAATAATCATTGAGTTAATTTCTTTGCCTTGCTAAACTGGAGGCCAAATAAAGCTGATCATAAGGTAGAGCTTCTTTGCCTCACAATTTATCCAAAGCCGAAATATTTTTTCAGTGTAAATACAAAAAAAAAATACTAAGGGAGTTGTATCCATGGTTTACACAGGAATGGCTTTAGCAAAAGGGCACTACTACCACAGGCCAGTCAATATTTACCTCCACACGAAACTCAAAGCAAAGGGACTGGTAGGTTTCTCAATTTGACTTTGCTGTGATGGAAACAGCCAAGCTAGGCTCTTCCCATCCAGTGCAGGAATCATACCACATACCCAGGCATGCTGGCTGACCAGTTCTCCATCACAACAGCCTTAGCTTGTTAGAGACAAGCAATGCTGCACCACACCCTGCCTGTAATCTCAGCAATGCCTTGGCACGGGTACTCACCATCCAGCCTGCTCTCTCTGCCTCATTCAGGGCTCCTCTGCCACCCTGCCTTTACACTACACCACCTCAAACCATGCAAGGTCCCTGTGCATCAATTTGAGAGAAATACTGCTTGCATCAGCTTGAAGCACACAGCTCCCTGATGTAGGCTAGGGATGGAAGGAAGATTCAAGATACCAAACCACACATGGTAGCAGCTGCCTGAAGGCAGGCTTATGCCAGGATCTCATGGGACAAACAATTACTCAGAGGGAAATTAATCAGATAAACACTGATATATCAATTTCAGGTCCCCAGCGTGGCCTGCAGCAAGACAAATTCTGCACGCTGAAGAGAGGACTGACTGTCTTCTGTAGGGAACTGGGACAGTGATGCAACAGTGACACAATGGTGCCATCCCCAGTACAGAATTTTGGCTACACCTGCCAGTTCCTGTCATAATGCCTGCCTGAGTGGATCACCCCACATACATATGAATTCCTACCTTTACAATGGCCTTTCTTCTCCCTACCCATTACCAAAACTCTGGATCAGACTACATGGTAAATGGCTCTTTAAACAACCCCAGCGTTGCATTCCTCCATTTACAGTACTCCTTTGGCTCTAAGTACCTTCATGCAAAGCAGAATGGTGCTGCTCCTGCAAGATGCATAAGGAGATACATTGGCTACACCCCAGCCAACAAGCAAGCATGCAGGCAACTCCCAGTGTGCTGGCATCCCTACAGAGTGGCCAGGTCTGGAAGTAGATTCACAACACGTTTTCAAGTAGTATTTTGAGTTCACTGCATTTTATATCCAACTGTCAAAACATTTTATACCGCAGCTTGACAGATTTTTCATGTCCATCACGAAAGAAGAGCAACATCAAGAAAAGAAGTAAAAAAAGCAGTAATGATTTTTCCCTCTCCTGCATTCAGATGCACTACCCAAAGTCCTACCTCCCCTTTTCATGGCTATTGGAGCTCCATCTAAATACCATGCAGTACATGAGCTTGTCTTTGAATGGTGTGTGTGGTAGCTACCAGAAAATGCTGCCATTATGCTTTGAAGTAAATAGCTTGTGCTGTCTGGCATTTGCAGTTTTCCCATTC